GAAAGAGACCTGGGAGTGGATGTGACACCTAATCTAACTCCTGAGGCACATATAAATAGGATAACGACAGCAGCGTACTCTACACTGGCGAAAATTAGAACTTCATTCAGAAACCTAAATGAGGAAGCTTTTAGGGCGCTTTACACTGCCTACGTGAGACCCGTCTTAGAGTATGCCGCGCCATCATGGAGCCCCCACCTGAAGAAACACATAAAGAAACTGGAGAAGGTTCAGAGGTTTGCGACGAGGCTTGTCCCAGAGCTACGAGGGATGGGATATGAAGAGCGGCTGAAGGAACTGAACCTTACGACACTAGAGAAAAGAAGGGAGAGAGGAGATATGATAGGGACATATAAAATACTCAGGGGAATTGACAAAGTGGAAATAGATCAAATGTTCACACGTAATAATAACAGAACGAGGGGACATGGGTGGAAACTGGAAACTCAGATGAGTCACAGAGATGATAGGAACTTTTCTTTTAGCGTGAGAGTAGTAGAAAAATGGAATGCACTTGGGGAACAGGTTGTGGAAGCAAATACTATTCATACTTTTAAAACTAGGTATGATAGGGAAATGGGACAGGAGTCATTGCTGTAAACAACCGATAGCTAGAAAGGTGGGATCCAAGAGTCAATGCTCGATCCTGCAAGCACATATAGGTGAGTACATATAGGTGAGTACACACACACACACACACACACACACACACACACACACACACACACACACACACACACACACACACACACACACACACACACACACACACACACACACTAACTCACACACACACACACACTAATGATGCGAGGCATTAACCATGCCCAGACTAACTCGAAAACAATGAATCTAAAAGGGACAGAATATAGATGAGAATAATGCAGGTAGAAATAATCAAACTGTCTCAGGCTACCTGTCAGGGAGGAAACTAAGGGGACGTACAGAGAGGGAGAGGGGGATGAGGACAAGTAAACAAGGCTAGACTTAAGTCTTTAGAGCCAAACATTAAGAGTTTTCATTAATGGTCATCAAATACTAATGTATACCAGTGACCATTAGTCTTCGAATACCTTGTGACGAAGACGGGAAGAATCAGAAAATTCTAAGAACATGGGAAACAGACCTCAGAGGAAAAGCATCTCATAACTCTTATGATTTCTAAAGCCACTAACTTGGGGCAAAGGCAGTAGAATCAGGAGAGTCAAATCAATCATCTCAAGATGGTACACAATGAAGACGAACTATACCGCCCTGAAACTACCGAAGAAATTATCCTAAGAGTAAACCACACACAAAATGGATACCTGTATGTGTTTACATCGATATACTCTAACGCAGCCTTTGGCAAACGTTACGAATACATTCAGAACACCTGGGGCCAGATTCACGAAGCAGTTATGCAAGCACTTACGAACGTGTACATCTTTCCTCAATCTTTGACGGCTTTGGTTGCATTTATTAAACAGTTTACGAGCATGAAAACTTCCCAATTAACTGTTGTTATTGTTATAAACAGCCTCCTGGTGCTTCGGAGCTCATTAACGGTTTAATAATTGTAAACAAAGCCGCCAAAGATTGGGAAAAGATGTACAAGTTCGTTAACTGCTTGCGTAACTGCTTCGTGAATCTGGCCCCTGTAGTCTACTCGAATTCAACTATATATTAGGCTACGGGTCGCTTACACCACCTAGTGATGGCAAAACATCTTGTTTATCACCACCAACGACCATACCAGGGCAAGTCAGGTACTCAATTCTGCCCCAGTAATACAATATAATATTTTGTTAGCGTAAGAGCATTAAATACAATGACCTAGACAAGGAGGTAGTAAAAGCTAAGTGAATTCATTATTTTAATAGTATAATGAAGGGGGGGGGGGAGTACCGGGTCCTAACGCCCCTCTCTTGTTTCTCTTCTCACCTCCTCCTCTCCAACTTTGTCCCTAAAATCCCCCCTCTTAAACTTCTTCCCCAGAGATGCCCCCTCTCATATCCACTTCTCCTCTCCCCTCTCTCACCTCTTCCCCCCCACTACACCTGTTTCTCCCCCTGTTTTTCTCTCTCCAAACATTCCCCGCTTTCTTCTCTCTTTTCAAGCATTCCCCCTCCCTCCCTCCCTCCCCCCCCTCTCTCTCTCTCTCTCTCTCTCTCTCTCTCTCTCTCTCTCTCTCTCCCAATCTGAAAACGTAAAGGAATCTACGAGGGGGTTTACTTCGAGGACCAATAGGACCGCCCCCCTACCAGCCTACTTTGCGGTTACCTTGCGATTTTGGTGCTCAACCTCCCCGCGGCCCGGTCCTCGACCAGGCCTCCTGGTTGCTGGACTGATTAACCAAGCCGTGTCCGCCTCGCATCCCAAACCATTCACTCTGCAAATTTTGGAGAGGCTAGCCCCAGGCGTCTGGCCTACAACCTTATACGGACATTCTCACATATAGAGAACTTTAGCTTTTGATTCCGAGGATCAACGTCCCCGTGGCCCGGTCTCTGACCAGACCTAGCTCCTGCCTGAGGGTCTAGTCAACCAGGCTGTTCGACGCGGCTGTTCAGTGTGACGTATGAATCACAGGCTGGTTGACCAGGTATCCTTTGAAGGTGTTTATCAAGTTCTCTTCTGAGCACTGGGAGAGCTAGGTCATCATTTATGACCCTTGTGTAGAGGGAGGATGTGATAGGAGAAAAGTAGGTCGGTATTTATTACAATATACGGGCTGCTGGCAAGGCGGGGTCCAAGAGCTGAAGCTGGATCCTATAACCACAAATAGGTGAGTGCAAGTACGCGCTCTCACGCGCCCGCGCACAAACACCCGCCGTTTACACTTTTCAATCAGTCATTTGCAAGTACCGTCCGTTGACATTTTCCTGTCGGTGCAACCCGGAATAACTGGTACAAGACAGAGCTCCTTCGGCCGGCCCGAACTGGTTGTCCAGGTATCCCAAACACGCCGCGGCTTGTGACAACATACCAGACCGGCAGGAAGCAGGTACCGGTGGACGGGGGGGGGGGGGCGGGTTTAAGAGAGCCAGTTCTTGTCCTCCTGCACCCCCGCGGTTCACCTTTGTCTCGCGGCACTGTCTTCACAGTCACAGCCATTCAAGCTCTACCTTGAACATCTGTCTGTAGTTGTATTAACCACACAGTGTTGATGTAGGGTGGTTTGTATAGTAACCACACACGTGTTGATGTGGGTAGTTTGTATGGTAACCACACTGTGTATACTTTGAGTACTTTACCTTACCTTGTGTTGGTTTCGTCTCCGCGGTCCGGTCATTGCCCAGGCCTCCTAGTTGCTGGACTGGTCAACCAGGCTGTTGGACGCGGCTGCTCGCAGCCTGACGTATGAGTCACAGCTTGGTTGATCTGGTATCCTTTGGAGGTGCTTATCGAGTTCTCTCTTGAACACTGTGAGGGGTCGGCCAGTTATGCCCCTTATGTGTAGTGGAAGCGTGTTGAACAGTCCGTGTGATGATGAACTTAGCTATCAGTGAGGACAGGGAAGTGAGGTCTTGCCTTGCTGTATCTGTTGTGACATAATTGAACTATTCTGACGTTCGAATTCTCTGTCGAATCTGCTCTTAAAGTTGTGGATAGAGGTGGTTTCCACAATTTCTTTCAGCGCATTCCACTTGTTGACCACCCATACAGGGTTAGCAACAGGGGGAGTACGAAAATGTCTTTACATTTCTTCCGACTCGTTTCCTAGTTGCATTTCCAGCTTCCACTTGTGTTCCCTCGGTATCTTGTATGCTGTGATCAAGTCCCCCCCCCCCTCAGTTTCTTCTCTCTTCCACGGTTGAGGTCTAGTTCTAATTTGCATCGTCTGTGAACATCATAGACTCGTACGAACTAGTACCATCTGCTAGGTCATTCCCATACACTGGGAACAGTAGGAATACCAGGGCTGACATGTTAACTTCCAGGGGAATAGGTTATTTTCCTTTAACTCGAAACCTCTTCTCTGACTGTGACTCTTTGTTTTCTGCCCTTCAGGTAGTCCTTTAACCAATTGGGTGTCTTCGCAGTTATCCCTGCTTGCCCCTCCAGCCTCTCTTGAGAAACAGCATCAAATGCCTTTTGACGGTCGAGAAAAAGCTCCCAGTCTGCCGAACTTTCCTCTCATATTTTTAGTAACACTGTCAGTGAACTCTAAAGTTTGACAGGCGCGACTTTGCCCTCTTAAATCTACGCTGTCATTTTGTCGCAAACTTTATCCTCTTCAGGTGTTCAATGATTTTCAACTTCATTTCTTTTTCCAGCACTTTACACGGAACACTTGACAGTAATATTGGTCTGCAACTTAGTGCCTCCTGTCTGTCCCTTTTTATTATTTTTAATGTTGTGAATATGTTTATCTTTTTCCAGAACTCTTTTTAAGAGAAGTTTCCAGTTTCAACTGATTTATTTAAAACTTTAGTTAGCGAGTGATAAAGTGTCTCTGCAACCTCCTTCAAGAGCCTCGGTGGTCACCTTACCTTGAGGTTACCTTGAGATGCTTTCGGGGCTTAGCGTTCCCGCGGCCCGGTCGTCGACCAGGCCTCCTTGTTGCTGGACTGGTCAAACCAGGCTGTTGGACGCGGCTGCTCGCAGCCTGATATTAAGTATACCTGATATTGACAGCGGTGGTACTAAGTCTACTCTTATTCATTTTGTTGCATCTTAGTTCTCTGCAATGATCACTCTGTCATCTTGGAGACTCTTTGGCCTTCAGATGTGACTAGGAAGGGGGTTACCTTGAGGTTACCTTGAGGTGCTTCCAGGGCTTAGCGTCCCCGCGGCCCGGTCGTTGACCAGGCCTCCTGGTTGCTGGACTGATCAACCAAGCTGTTGGACGCGGCTGTTCGCTGCCTGACGTACGAGTCACAGCCTGGTTGATCCAGGGGGGGGGGGATGCTTGCCACGACACCAGCTCCGCCAGGAGGACGGGGCTAACGGGTTATGTTCCTGATTTTTATGCGTTAGATGTGCTAAGTAGCTGCTGATGCGTCAAGTAGCGTATTATGCGTCGAAAGGTGCGTTAATAGCAGTTTATGCATTAAGTAGCACTAAATCCGTCAAAGAATGAGTTGAAGTAGCATCATATTCGCAGAAAATTGCGTTATGTGTCATAAAGATGTATCAGGTAGCATCGTATGCACCATTGAGATGTATTCAGCGGTCCGTTTAATTACCCAAATTTACCCAAAGCCTCCTAGCATTACGCAAGTAATGAAGAAATATGATATATTTACTCCCTATAATGTTGGTGCTGAGAGTTGAACACGATGAAACATATTTGTACTCTGAAATAATGTCATTTTATAACGAAATCAGACGAAACTAAGTGGCAGGTGACGCCGCAGGAAGTCGACGATCCAAGCGATAATGTTGTGGGGCTTTGGGCAATTAGATAAACAGCTACGTGACTAAAGACTGTCCTTGCGGCCCGGTCTCCGACCAGATTGTCTGGTTTGTGTTGTTGGTCAATCAGACTCTTAAGAGAAGGCGTCGTGAAATGTCTTGGGGCCTTTAATACCAGTTTGATAGCTGTTTGATGGGGTTCTGGGAGTTGTTCTACTCTCCAAGCCCGGCCTGGCGCCACGCTCGACTTGTGATAACTTGGTCCAACAGGCTGTTGTTTGCAGTGTCCCGTAGGCCCACATATCCACTACATTTCCGTGTGCATATATGGAGCTCAATCCCCTCCAATATATTTCAAGTGAAAATTATTTTAAGACTTATCCCTACTAGGTTTCCCTGGAACATGGCTCACGAATCAGTTTACAACCAGGTTCCCAAATTATACCCGAGTGAACAAGAGCGAACACCTTAGGATCGATTACCTACCTAATTACCTAACGTTATGTTACATTAAGAATGAAAACAACTAAAGATTACCTCAATATTATTTTCGTCATTAAGAGGCCATTCACAGCCTAAATATCCATCGACACATCACCATAAAAATTCCATATCAAAAGCAGTAAACGCAAAGACTAACTAACCAACATTTAGGTAACTGCTACGTAAAAGGGACGAGTTGCCCTCTGGCATTATAGTGAGTGACGTCGGAGTGCTTAGCCAAGGTCAAGACGCCCTGGACCATGAGTGGGAGGGGGGTGGGGGTGCTGACGGGGGAAGGGGGGTGGGGGTGGGGGTGCTGACGGGGGAAGGGGGATGGGGGCGGGGATGCTGACGGGGGGAGGGGGTGGGGGTGGTAGGATGGAGATGCGGTAAAATTATGTGCCAAAATTGAGGTTAACAGTAGCAGACAATAGACGACGATCACTACAGCAAGGAGTGTAAATACAGCAGCAGGAGACACTACAGCAAGGAGTGTAAATACAGCAGCAGGAGACACTGCAGCAAGGAGTGTAAATACAGCAGCAGGAGACACTGCAGCAAGGAGTGTAAATACAGCAGCAGGAGACACTGCAGCAAGGAGTGTAAATACAGCAGCAGGAGACACTACAGCAAGGAGTGTAAATACAGCAGCAGGAGACCCTACAGCAAGGAGTGTAAATACAGCAGCAGGAGACCCTACAGCAAGGAGTGTAAATACAGCAGCAGGAGACACTACAGCAAGGAGTGTAAATACAGCAGCAGGAGACCCTACAGCAAGGAGTGTAAATACAGCAGCAGGAGACACTACAGCAAGGAGTGTAAATACAGCAGCAGGAGACACTACAGCAAGGAGTGTAAACACAGCAGCAGGAGACCCTACAGCAAAGAGTGTAAATACAGCAGCAGGAGACCCTACAGCAAGGAGTGTAAATACAGCAGCAGGAGACACTACAGCAAGGAGTGTAAACACAGCAGCAGGAGACCCTACAGCAAAGAGTGTAAATACAGCAGCAGGAGACACTACAGCAAGGAGTGTAAATACAGCAGCAGGAGACACTACAGCAAGGAGTGTAAACACAGCAGCAGGAGACCCTACAGCAAAGAGTGTAAATACAGCAGCAGGAGACACTACAGCAAGATATAAGGAGACTGAACCAACGACCATTGCTGCTAAACTAACATTTCTTTCTTGCCAATAATAAAAAAAATTAAACAATAAGATTAAAAAGACAGCTTGATAAATAACATGAATTAATTTCCCCGGTGACATTGACGCCGCATAAACAACAATGGTCTCCCTAAACACAAGGGGGAGGGAAACTAGCCGACCTCGCGTGGAGTTCATTCTAAAGAGAATTCGATAAACACATCTAAAGGATACCTGATAAATCGGGCTGTGATACAAACGTCAGATGATGCGCATTAGCCTTTAACAGCCTGCTTGACCAGACCACCAACTAGGAGGCCTAGTCAAAATCCGGCTCACGGATACACTGCAGGAACATCAGGTATTCTACAGGGGCAGAAGTAAGGACATTAGTAGACAAAACGGAAGAGGAGGGACTGGTCTTACACGAGCCATGATAATCAATACCCCCCATGGGAGGCTCCACAGGCTGCCTTACACAGGCAACATAACAAAGAATATTTCTGTGCCTCAGCTTTCCACGGGAACCCACATTTCTCCCGACCTAAAAACCCTCATCAAACGCTACGTACACACTAAGGCTCCTTCAGGAGCTTCCATGGGACCTCCAGGGTCCTTCAGGGCCCTCCAGGCTCCTTCAGGGCCCTCCAGGCTCCTTCAGGGCCCTCCAGGCTCCTTCAGGGCCCTCCAGGCTCCTTCAGGGCTCTCCAGGCTCCTTCAGGGCCCTCCAGGCTCCTTCAGGGCTCTCCAGGCTCCTTCAGGGCCCTCCAGGCTCCTTCAGGGCCCTCCTGGCTCCTTCAGGGCCCTCCTGGCTCCTTCAGGGCCCTCCTGGCTCCTTCAGGGCCCTCCAGGCTCCTTCAGGGCCCTCCAGGCTCCTTCAGGGCCCTCCAGGCTCCTTCAGGGCCCTCCAGGCTCCTTCAGGGCCCTCCAGGCTCCTTCAGGGCCCTCCAGGCTCCTTCAGGGCCCTCCAGGCTCCTTCAGGGCCCTCCAGACTCCTTCAGGGCCCTCCAGGCTCCTTCAGGGCCCTCCAGGCTCCTTCAGGGCCCTCCAGCCTCCTTCAGGGCCCTCCAGGCTCCTTCAGGGCCCTCCAGGCTCCTTCAGGGCTCTCCAGGCTCCTTCAGGGCCCTCCAGGCTCCTTCAGGGCCCTCCAGACTCCTTCAGGGCTCATTAGGATCCTTAGAGTGAAACATGCTCGACTCTTGACCGGAGAAAACAGACAGAAACACAGCTGTCAATTAATCAACACTTCCTCGGAATCTTGTATCCACAAAAGATATATACGAGTTCCATCTCTTTTTTTTTTTTTAAGTTTTTGCACCCCCCATGACCACTCACCCCCCCATGCACCCCATGACCACTCACCCCCCTCCCAATGCACCCCATGACCACTCCCCCCCATGCACCCCATGACCACTCACCCCCCCATGCACCCCATGACCACTCCCCCCCCATGCACCCCATGACCACTTCCCCCCCCCATGCACCCCATGACCACTCACCCCCCCATGCACCCCATGACCACTCACCCCCCCCCATGCACCCCATGACCACTCACCCCCCTCCCAATGCACCCCATGACCACTCCCCCCCCCATGCACCCCCATGACCACTCCCCCCCCATGCACCCCATGACCACTCCCCCCCCATGCACCCCATGACCACTCCCCCCCCCCATGCACCCCATGACCACTCACATCCACTTGTCATGCATACTGCCACACTCGCATAACTCTGCTTGTCTTCATTTGTTTAGAACCACAATAACACTACAATATACACTTACAAGGGCCTGTTACACCCCCCTCCCACACACGCACACAGGCCCATGTGCGCGCGCGCACACAGTAGTAGCGGGAGCGGTGAGGGTCTGGTAGCTGAATAGACAGCGCGCGGGACTCGTAATCCTGTGGCCCAGGTCCGATTCCCGGTCTAGGCAGAGACAAATTGGCACCTGGAGCCAGCCACCAGGCCCCCCCCCCCCCTGGCACGGTTCTTTCCTTTTAGACACAAAGGACAAGCGGTGTGGCAGTGCACAGTAGAAAGTTGTTTTCACATATCCACACATTAAAACATTGATTGTAACCGTGATATATATGTGCTTCAGCCTACAGTTTAGACCTATTGTCTTATGTATGACCCTCTGTCCTGCGTGACAGTGAATACTAGCATTATCCTCAATTTAATAAGACTATCAAAATCCTCAGATTAGGCAAAATTGTAATTAATTTTGTCAATAAAGATGTTAATAATAAGAACCCCGCTATACATGATGGCGGACGCGCCGGCCATCGCCTCCCTCCACACCCATCACCACTCTATACATCCCGTCATAGAGGGGAAAACATCCTTTACGGGCTCACCATAGCCCGTGCTACATGGACACTTCGTCCCGAGTAGCTAACTCTGAAACAACATCAAGGGGAAAACAACATTTAAAAGGATTTGGTAATAACGATGTTCACTGAGTACAACAAAGCGAATTATAGCATCAGCCGGGACAATGATAGTATGGATTATGAGAACCTTCAGAGCCAGAGATGCCACTACACTGCTCCTACTTTTTAAATAACTGTACCTACAGTGATTTACATTTATTGTAAATCACATAAATTGTAAATTACAGTGTATTTAGTACAGTGACCTGTCACTGCTGTACCGTCTTGATTACTATCTCCAGGTAATGCTCAATGCTCACTTCCCCTTTCAAAGCAGGAGAGGCTACTGAAATAGGAGGGAATACAGAGACCATCTACGTCTCGCACTGACATGATAAAGCACCTAAACTATGGGAACCGTCTTTAAAGCTATCAAAATGTATTCTCTAAAAAGGAGACAAAGAGAGGTATCACATACAGTAATAGATACATAGAAGACATTGGAAGACCAGATCCCAAATATGAACAGTAACATATAACATACTGGAGCGAAAGGTACGGTAGGAAATGCAGAATAGATCCGGTGAAAAGTTGATGCATCATTGGAAATTTTTTCAAGTAGCATCTACACATGCACTAGTATAGTAACGCACAGTATATAATTGCATACACTGTAATGCTCACTACAGCTATTGTATCTAATGCTCCCTACAGCTATTGTATGTCATGCTCACTGCAGCTATTGTATCTAATGCTCCCTACAGCTATTGTATGTCATGCTCACTGCAGCTATTGTATCTAATGCTCACTACAGCTATTGTATGTCATGCTCACTACAGCTATTGTATGTCATGCTCACTGCAGCTATTGTATCTAATGCTCACTGCAGCTATTGTATGTCATGCTCACTGCAGCTATTGTATCTAATGCTCACTACAGCTATTGTATGTCATGCTCACTACAGCTATTGTATGTCATGTTCACTGCAGCTATTTTTTTTCAATGTTCACGTAAATGCTTACATGTGCGATGGCCCACACGGGTACAAAAAGTACTATGTGAACAGGAGGACGGCTTGTACAAACTACTTCCTCGAGAAAATACACGACACATTCTCTGAAATGTCGAGACAACACTTCAGTAGCATATCGTAGATGCTGAAGTTTGTTTAACGCGAGGCCATTACGATAACGACATCCTGCTCCACAGCCGGCTATATTCCACAAGGATTTACAGAAAGGCCTTTCATGGTGTACCAACCCATCCGACGCGCAAATGAAAAACCTAGATGCGGACGGCCAGATGAAACAGCCTGGCAGATTGCAAAGCTTCCTAACCCCCCCCCCCCCCGTCCCCAAACCCATTTCGGGGCTTTAACAACTCGGATGATGCAGACCAAGAGTCGCCGAACTGTTAACGAGTGCATAAAACTATCTGACTGCCCACAAAGGACGTTATAGGAAGATTGGCTATCAGTGTTCAGCAACAGACCAGTGGAATACTCTGGCAGATAACAGCCCAAAAGGAGGAATGTGGTGCTCAGGAAATCAATTGGTCCTTGTGGAAGTTGTTGTGGCATTATCACCGAGTCATCACACAGATGATACTGTCAACCAGGTGAGCTCACCGTTACTGGCATCGACCTTTACTAAGGGAACACCTGCTAGCTATCACCTATGTCACCATCAACACCTGCAGCACTTCCACCCCCCCACACAAACGAGTCCTCATAACAGATGCACATGTTCCCCTTCTCACAGAAGACAACGATGACACACCACTCTCCGCCCCCACCACCACACAACGACAGACAGCCAGCGTCTACACCAATGATCCTTTATCTTGTATTTCCCTTCATTTCCCGGTCAACAACGAGAGTTCACCTCGTGCAGGTGAGCCGGGGCCAGGCCTTCCTGGCGGGTGCCTGATCTGTGAGGTTACTGGCCTTTGTAACCCGAAGGTCCCCCACCCATCACAACCTGGCTCATCTGGTAACTAGAACAGTCACGTCTAGAGTTTACTCTTGAAAGTTTCCACTGTTTCAGCTACATTTTTATTATTTATTTGTTGAAATGTTGGATAGTCATGGAGGTCTGATGTTTATACTGTGAATATTAGTTATGCTTATGACATATGGCATTGTGTTTCTTTTACACCTCTTAGGTAAGGTCTTCCGACATGATTACTACCAGATTCTTTACACTGCTTTTTGTACTATAGTGTGATTTGACGGTGTTTTATTTGTGGTTTCTGTTTTTAACGTAGTGGAGTAGCTAGAACTTATGTTCGACGAACATCATGTTATTTTCTGAGGGCCATTCAAAGACTTGATTTACATCAGTTTGGAGGTTTGCTGTGTCCTCTATATTGCCTACTCTCTCAAAAATCCTGGTGTTATCTGCAAAGGATGATACGGTACTATAGTTTATGTCCTTGTCTATCCCCGAGACGTGGATCAGCAATGGTAATGGAGCAAGCACAGTACCCTGGGGGACTGAGCTTTTCAAGGTGGAGTGTTCGGATTTTACTCTATTGACTATTACTCTTTGGGTTCTGTTGGTTATGAATGTCTTTTGTAATAAATTTCATGTGAAATTCCTTTTGTCCGCGTCTTGTGTGTGCAATAACACCATGATACCTGCTTGATGGGGTTCTTAAGAGTTCTTCTCTCCAAGCCCGGCCCGAGGCCAGGCTCGACTTGTGAGAGTTTGGTCCAACTTGGTCCAACCAGCATATATATATATTTTCTTCTGGAGAAGAAAATGGAGAGGAGTCCTGTCCTCCATGGAGAGGGGTTAGAGATCTGTTAAACATGTAGTTCAGTGATTTACTGAACCAGCCAACCACAAAGTGATCATAGTGCTTGTAAAATGCGGACTGGAAGGTAAACAACACAAGGACTATCCCCGAACACCTCAACACAACTACCGGGTTAAGGAGAAACATCAAATTCGCCGCTAAAGAAGGATCACTAAAACGATTACTTGTTAATATAAAGCTACAAGAGACGCTTTGACCAAGTCGCGAAAGATATGGAGAATGTATTGTAGTCAGCTGGCCGATAATATACATAAGAACATAAGAACAAAGTAAATAGCCTGGATGTGTCACAACGGAAAGGTTGATGCTATTCTTGAGAGATATAAGAATTTTGCACCAAGACTGTAATATTTTGTTGAATTATCTGCATGTCTCTTGCAAATTGTCTATACAGTATACCTAGGTCATAAAAAGTATTTGTGTGTACGTCTGATACCATACTACTTGTGAAGGAGGAAATGTATATGTTTATCTCTCAGAATGTTTGGTAATATGTTTATTGTTTGTGATGTGTGTCTATGTATGTATTAACACGATGTACTGAACGGGGTGAGAATAGCTTGAGCTACCTCATCCCTTTGTGTGTATTTTACATCAATAAACTTATTTCAATTTCAAGATAACTGCAGAAGGCCTATTGGCCCATACGAGGCAGCTCCTATTTATAACCAGACAGCTCCTATATATTATACGACACAATACGGAAGGCATAAAAGAGAACAGTAAAAGTGGACGAGAGAAAGTTAGGGAATGGGGGATAGAGTTGGGAGACGGGACGGAGAGGGGAGGGGAGGGAGTCTGGGAGAGGGGGTTCGTTTGTGATGGGGGGGGGTGAGGAAGTGGGGAACGAGAGGGGAGGGAAATTAGGAAGGAATAAAGTATATTCCTAATGTCGACTAATGCTAACTCAAAGTGCATGTTTCTGGAGGTCAGGCTTCAGTCGAGCTGAAGTAGAACAAGAGTTCCTATCTTGCTA